GTGTGTGTGTGTGTGTGTGTGTGTGTGTGTGTGTGTGTGTGTGTGTGTGTGTGTGTGTGTGTAGTAAATTCAAATGCCCGTTTTTTATGGACGACTTGAGAGGCTGATGATGTTGCACAGACCACCAGTTAAACCTCCACACACACACGTACAGTCCCCATGTCCCCGTTTGCACTATGTAAGCTATAAGAAAGTGCTTATTTTGTTGGCTGGAGACCATTTTTAATGAGAACACTCAGTTAAACAACGCTCCATAACAAACTGACTTTAATGGGTCTCGTCTGCACTGCGAGTTCATTTACAATAACGCACCCTATGGCGCGCTCCCATTAGGTCTCGCTCACATTGACGGCATTCTTTCGGATTAGGAGCAAACTGAGAAAGGGCACGAGGGTGGTGTTTTATGAACCCTGTGACTTCACAAACATCTTAAACACAAAGGTTGCACAGAAATTGCCGAGAGGCCGACTCGCCGCTCTGTGAAAAGCTCGGCTGGGCTAACGTCCTGAGAGCCAAAGGTTCCTGTCTGAATCTTAGAAAGTCTGGAGATCAAGTCAAAGTCGAGTCAAAGGAAAACATTTTGACTCGGTAGTCAGTGTTAAACTAAAAGGTGGGTACTTCTGTGCAGATAACAGTGGCTGAAGGTGCCATTTCTATGGCGAGCACACCAGAAGCCTGTGGATGGCTTTGCTATACTCATCCCTTAAAAGGATGCTTCAAACAGCTTCCTGTCTGCTGCGGCTCGTGCTGTTACTTGAACACAAGTTGGTTTTTTTATCCTGCTATTCTTGGGTCATTGTATAAAACGCAGTGTACCGTAATTTAATTCCCACTGAGCGGTTTGAAGATGACTTTAAAAGGGGGTGGGAGGCATCGCCGGCGAAATCAGATAAGCTCTTTCCTTAAAACCTGCAGGGCCGCTGCTTTGGAAAAATCCTTTTTATGTATAACATCTGACAAGATCTGTGCGAGCTCCAGATTGATGTGCCACGGATTGGTTTGTCAACAGTCAAATATCCACGTCTTTGTGCCGGGACGGCCTAAAATAGTCCTGCAGAAAATTCGATTTGATGAGTCATGCTGGGGCGCGTTACTGATGAATAGAATTTTTATATTAATGCTTGATGCATCTAGCAGGCTTGAGTCAGCGCAGGATAAAAAATGCACATCAGTGGAAAGCGAGTCATGTTTGGTCACATCTGGCCGGCGTGCACAACTTACTTCCATTTCAGAGCTTTTCTGTTAAGAGATTCGCTTTTCTTATTTTCCCTCTTTAACATCTGCCTGATCTCTCTCTACACATCCTTCAATGCTGCTTCACTGCACTGTGTGTGTGTGTGTGTGTAGACTTCAAACATGCTCTACTGGCACCATAGACATAGGTGGGGGTAGGCAGAGACATCAAAGTAGTGCCCTGTTGGTGCTCCACAACTCCCCCAGAACCTTAAATCTATCATCAGCCTCATGGCGTCTTTATCAGTCCGGTCCTGACCCCATCATTGACTCCAACCATGTCCGTCTTCTTGTCTTGGCGTACCAGCTAATTGAAAACAGACCTGAGGACAAAGTTGGGCGGTGACATCTCCACGGATCAGCCCTGCAGTGAGCTTTTATCAGGTCCTCGTGTCTAATGTGGTGCAAAAAATGAAACGGACTGACCACCCTGTCAGCCACGACAACAGCCTGACGCTGCAAAACAAACTGTTTTCCTGTCACAGTGTTTTTCTTCCTGCTAAGCTACAGGTTTGGAGCTTTTTCCAGCCCTTTGTGATCTGCTGTATGTAGGCTAAAACAGCGCTGGGTGCTTCGGATTCTCCCTCCGGCTGCGAGGGGGAGGGAGAGGATAATGCATGTTGAGAGCCCATTACCGGGAAACATCTGGAATCCCAATCACATGTTTGGGGAGAGAGCTGCTCCCCTGGGCCCCTTGCGACACGTTTGGGACTGAAGCATTTAGGCCACTTCACCCACCCGCAGACGAAAATGAAACACAGGCTCGTCACCGCAGTCCAAAAAAGAAATAATCAGAAAAATGAAGTAGGGCACATCGTGTGGTTTCACCATGAATTATGCAGGGTAACGACACACAGATGAGTTTAAAAACTGAAACATGAAGCGAAGCACACGTTACGCCACTGAATCCGTTTATCACCGCTGCGAGCGAAGCAGATTTTCTCTGAGAATTTGTCTCAACATCAGGAAGCGTGCGAGCCCTCGTAGCCAATGTCTCCCCGCAGACCTCATCGCCACCTGCTCACCTGGTTTTCAATAGCTTTGCGGTTCTTTGGATCGCTGACTACGGTCAGCTGCAGCTCGGCCATCTTCTTCATCTTCCCGTCCATGTCGATCTTCTGCAGCAGAGCGCGGACCTGGCTCCGCAGCAGGCGCACCGTATCCTCCTTCCCCTGGCGCTTGGCCAGCAGCGAGGCACTTGCGGAGTGGATCGCCGTCACCCAGTTTTCCAGGTCGGTCTGGTTGCTGGCCTGGAAGGGAAATAAAGAAACGAGGAGCTCAAACCGCTGACCAGTATTTCCATTACATGCACGATAAAGTTACTGTACCATTTATCTCAGAAAGATCATTAGGAGGCAGCTGAAAGACTCCTGCTTAAATCAAGGTTAATGTGCTCTTTTCATCCTGAGAGGAGACTGGATGAGAAATCAGTTGAGCCCTTTTTAAATGAGACTTGGGCTCTAAGGTCATTTTATATGAAAAAAGAAACCAGCGGGTGTGTGCAAAGACTTTCTGAGAAATCTTCAGTCACAAGCACAGGAGTCAGGTGACTCTTCACCTGGAAGAGGTAGACGTCTCCATACGAGTTGCTGAGGCAGAACACGTTCTCCTTCTTGGGATGCTCAGGAACAGCCTGGACGATGCTGTCCTCGGCCAGGAGGGCGTAGCGGGGCGACAGCTCCTGTTCCGGAGAGCCTTTACTGTAAGTTTCATAGAACAGCAATGTGCACCCTGGAAAGGGAAGGAAATGCTTTTACCGTGTGATTATTGCAGACACTGTGTCCTTGTTCAACATGAAAAATAATCTAAGCAATGAACTTCAGCAGAATGGGAGTTGTTGCTGTGACATTGAGACATAAAAGCACAAATCCTGCACAGAATCAGAGAAATGACAAGAATGCCTCACTTCATATATTTTATTTTCTCTTCTGATATTTCCAACTAACCCAAACTGTGAATTCTTCATCTGAGTTTCAAGGACAGGGCACCGAAGCTCACCTTTCAAGGTCACCCAGTACTGCTTCCACTTGCGCCGCGTCACCAGCTCCAGCTTCCTGTCCTTGTGCAGGGTAACGAGGGGTTTGAAGGAAAGCCAGCCGGCCCGTCTAACCACCCCCTGCTCTTTTTCAAACAGCAGGTCGAGCTGCTCGAGCGAGCCTTCGGCAGATTCGCTGCTGCTCTCGTCTTCCTCGGTGCCGGTGGACGGCACTCTTCTCTCACCTCCTCCCTGCCCGGTACCCGTCTCCAGCTCCCTCATGAAGTTTTCGTAGATGTTCTGGCGAAGGGCATCGTTGGTCGTTTGGTGAATGGCTCCTGAAGATTGGGCCCTGGAGGCTCCGGGAAACCAGAGGAGGCTGGAGACCTGGGAGGGGGAGCTGGTGTCTGCAGTCAGACCATCCACCCCACTGTCAAACGTATCACTCAGGTCCTTGTACCGGGGTTCCTGAGGAGGCACAAAAGGTGAAGAAAGTGAATGAAGAGTGTGAGAAAAGTCAATTGGAGGAAGATCAGAAGTGTGGGGCTGGCTGCAGATTACAAACTTGGCTCTGACCTGCATTGTTCCCACCCACATTTAGGCAAAGCACAGCATGTTTGCTGTACAGAAGTACCCGTGAGCTTACAGCTCACGGGTACTTCTGTAGGTACCCGTGAGCTTACAGCGGGACACAAATCAACTCTGCTTCTTTCAATTAGCCTCAAGGCGCTGCGAAACTTTTGAAAAATCGAGGCAAACCACTCGAACCTACTTCAAAGTCTGCATTACAGTCTCGAAATTCTTCCTAGGCTGAAAAAGTGGGACAAATTTCCTGTGATGGCACCTGAGAGGTTGGCACCCTCCAGGCTCAGACAATTTCACGTCATTTGAGGTCTGCTGTGGCTTCCCAATTCCCCAAATGAATACTTGATGGAATTGCACCCTTTCATGCCTAATGACAGCCTACCTACACTTCACTAGATTGGAGCATCGATTCTGCCCCTGGCAACAGAGCGGAGCGCTCTCAGCGTGCAGACGCGCACGGCATCACGACAGAGCTCTGTCTCCATCTTTTGTTTATTAATGCGTTTCACTCCAACCTGTCTGCGTCGTCTCAGTCCTTAATGCGCATTTCGTGCTGCATCCACACTCACCCTTCTTCATATTTAGCATGCAGTTCTGCCTCCCTGCGCCCTGTAACTAGGCAGCAAAGGGTTCATGTTTAAGTTTCACAGCAGGACTGAACCCGGTGAACTCGGTGCTCACTTGAGGACAGGCTTTGTTTACCATTTCGTCCTCTTGTAGCAACCATGAAATGCACCGTTGTTTAGTTAGTAGCTGTAGATGCACACTGTGCAGAGGGCAAGCTTCCTCTAGCCCAACTCTATCCAGCCTCTCCTCACCGTCCTCCATCTGCTTTTCATTACAAGCAGATTCTTGGTCTTTGGCATCAGGGTCGCTATGTGACCTTTAAACCCACGAGTCCAGGGGAGCCAGAGCTGATGACCTGCTGAAAGGAGGCACTGTGACCAGCCCGCAGAGATATTGCACACCGAAGTTTGGCATCAAAACGGCTCCCAAAGGAAAGAGGAAATACAGTTTTAAACAGCTCAATGAATTTAACGAGAACTTGTTGCATGCCCCGTTGATTACGGAGAAAGGAAACCCCTGAGCATTAATCACTGACTTGTTTGTGAATTTGCCTGATTGGTTCAATTAGTTTATACCAAACTGCACCAGAAATGCAGACTTCGTAAGTATTTATGTGCTTCACACAATTACCCGTAATCAGCATTGATTACCAGACCTCGGTCCACTTGTTTGAATTTTACTTCTGGACGAGGAAACAAAACTGGAGCAGATCGATCCTGCACCAGCACGTGGTTAGAAATTAGCGCAGCAGCTTTAGAAGGAGGCATTTTTTTAAAAACACTCAAAATGAGTCGAGTAAGCACAGGGTCAGAAAACTGCGTCACAGCAAAGCTTCTTGCATATTTCACTGAAAATAATCAGACGTTTCAGCACGAGAAGCAGCTTAGCTTACACAGTCTCCAAGAAGAAAACGCCTTCTCATTTGTTCTTCTCTGTCCTTTGTTTTGCTCCTAGACTCAACCGACTGAACACCAATCCCTATTAGCAGATTTATTCTCTGAGGAACGTGAGGGGAGACCCGAAAATCTGAACACAACAACCAGAACAAGCATAAGTCACTCATTAACGTTAGAGGAGGGGTGGGGTTAAATCTTCAGCTCGGATTTAGTCTCACTCTACAGATCCTCTCAAAGGCTTACAGCTATTCTCTTGGCAGCACCCAAACAGCGTTCTGAAAACTTTTACAAGGCACAGCTAAACGAATTAATGCAGGAACAATTGCTTTCAAGCCCTCAAAGAAGGGAGGGACGAGAGTTCAGGCTCAGTTTAAGCAAATGTTTTAGGTCAAATTAAAGCTTGTAAAAACCTGATGTTTGTACAACCGAAATCAGGCGGTTCCTGCGAGCACGTGCAGGCAGCGGGCTGACAGGCTGCTCTCCTCACAGCACAGGTATCGTTTTACTTACACGATGATCAGCTGTCCACTCAAAAGTCAATGCACCTCCCACGGACATCTTCAGTAACACGATTAATCGATCCAACTTGTAAACGAACGAGCTAAATGTGTAAAAGAAAGTCCTGCACGTTGCTAGAAAACAGTCGGTGTGCAATAATACTACTTAGATTTACCCACCCAGTAAAAGTATTCGTGATATCTGATTACCAGCCCCGCACTCCTCTTCGTCGGAGCGTCGTCCATGCTTCGGCATTGTGTTAAAAGTCACTCCCATCCTTGTTCCATCCTCACTAGAACAACTAGACCCAGCCCTGGCTGCTTTACAGATTTCATTTTGTGTCACCCCGCTGCGTCCTGTCCTCAGACAGCTGGTGTTGTGTTGCTAAAGGACCAGAGGACGGTGGTTGGTTCCCAGCCATGCCAGGACAACCACTGTGGCCCGCAATCACATAAATCTTGCCAGGAGGGAAACTGTCTGATGACCACTCCCTTCTCGGGCTAGATATGAAGATGCACTAAGATTTTCAAATATAAAATCTCTATAAAATATAAGGCATGGCTCTGTATGCATCCTGTGAGTGATAAAAGAGTGTAATTCATTAAAGAGTAGTGACTAAACCCCAAAGCCCATCTTGTGCAGGCTTACCTGAGACTGAGACTTCCTCTTCTTGCGGCTGAGGCTGCCCGTCCAGTCACTGAAGCGTCTGATGCGGTTTTTGATGGAGTCTTTCTTCTGGAAGATGAAATCCGGCCCCACCTGTTCCTGCCGTTGCCCCTGGTCACGGTACTGGTCCAGGTTCTCGCTGACGGTGTGCGATTTGGGCCTGCGACAGGGCAGGGTGTACGAAGAGTACTGGCGGGGCTCTGGGCATTCTTCTTCCAAAGGAACGTCCAGGACGGACGCAAAGGACGCTCGGTGTGGCCTCTGGCCCGGTGGAGGCTCGTGTAGCTGGGAGGACAAGTCCCTGGCTGTGGGGAAAGTCGCAGCCATTGTGGGGTCTTTGTACAGATCTGTGATGGACAAAGGGGGGGACTGTTCTGCAAAGGAGACAATTTGGTGAATGGGGGAGTGTGCTAACGTTCTGCTGGCAGAGCAAGGCTGGTCCTGCTCACACAGCTCTGTGCTCGGCCCCCAGGGGGAGTCATACCAGGAGCCGTCAGAGCTCAGTGAGCTGCCTTTGCTGGTTCTGGCTGTGGAGGAAGTAGAGGCTGGAAGCGGAGCGCTGTGATGACCATCCTGCCTGCTGCCACTGGACCCAGGCAGACTGGGAGTCGATGCCGACTCCACATTGGGGGAGAACTTGAGGAGTTGGACCGGGCCAGTGGGCTCATCCAGGTGGAGAGGATTCCCCGAGGTGTTGGTGAACTCCACCCTGAGCGTGCCGTCCTTTTTGATCACCACCCGCGGGCTGCTTTGTTCCCCTAAAACCTCGTGCTCGTCATCATCTCCGTTCAGGGCGTGCCCGTTGAGTTCGACCCCGTATGGATTATCATCGTCTGACATGTGCCGCTTCCTTATGCCGCATCCAGGGGACCGATGCCAGCGGTGCTGAGCCGGGCTTCCCCTCACTCCTTTGGAGACGTAGTCACAGAGTCGGGCAGAGTAAGGCTGTCGGCTTTTAGGAGGCGACAGACAGCCACGGCCAACGCACCTGGCCTTGTACCCTGAGCCTACCGGAGCATTTTTCCACCACGAATGAGGAGACAGCGCATCACCTTTGGCTGAGCCTAGCTTTAATGAATATGGCTTCTGTTTCCCGGGGAAGATAAAGCTGGTGCCTTTGGGACCCTGAATGCTGTACTGGCTCTCTGAATTTCCCATCCTGCCCTGGAAAAAACATAGAAAAAAGGAAACAAAACCATAATGTCAAGACTGGAAAATTCGTGGTCCTTACACATTAGACATGGTATGACATAATGCTGATTCATCAGAGGCATAAATTTAACTTATTACTCATAAACAATAACGGGTACACACAGTCATCTGAGCTACAGTGACAACAGCAGCAGGATTAATACGTCGCTGATGTCTTCCATAGCTTATTCTGCCGCATCAGGTCACTGATGCTTAATGATGTCTCCCTCTCACTTTATTATATTCTTGCAGGAGCAGATAACTGACACCAGCAGGCTTTAGTCTGTCGTGGTCGTTATGTTGACAATTAAAAACTTTTAGATGCTTCACAGCGCTCTTACATTAGCATCAGAGAGCTGTGACAAGACTCCACACTGCCGGTAAGACTATTACCGTGTCCGCCGTCGCCCATGATGTGATTGCATAACAGGTGCAAGTAAGGCCAAACACTTCTAACAGCCTTCAAGTCTTTGAATTAGCAAACCGAGACGATCAGGAACTAAAATAAAGCCCTGCATGACGCGTGGGAAGGATGCAACACTTCAGGTTTTTTATAAGATTCAAAATCTCTTTTTCAAGAGTGACCTGGCTATTAAATAAAATGAAAGTTGACCAGATAAAGAAGAAAGAAAGCTGAGGGGTTGAACTAAAGCATAATGCTGACCCTGGTCTGAAGGCTCCTTACACTCACCTCTGAAGCCTCGTCTCAGACTGGAGCTTCTATGTTCGCGCCACTCTCCGCCTCATTTCTCAAAATAAACTCATTCCTCCGTCGTCTGGCTCATCTGAAACACACAGGGAGAGGTTGGCTTAGTGCTTTCCACAAAAATGTAATTTACTTTGTGTAATGAGCAGAGGACAGCATTTGGTGCATGCACGTTTGTTTTTTCATCTTGTAAAAATGATTTAGGACCGTGTCCTCGAAAATGCAAAGTACAAGAAAAGTTCCTTCCTGTACGAGGTAGCACGTCCAGCAGTGCTCCCCCCCCCCCCATCAGCCGTCCAAACCAAACATTTGATGCATTTTTCCACCTCCCTCCGAGTAAATGACGTCGTCTTTGATCGGGTTTGGGAAAGCATTTCAAAGCCAGCTACAGTTTACCCATCTGTTTATTTTTAAACCTTTGAATCCTCGCTCGCTCCTTTTTTCAGCCATCATCTCCAAATTCGTCCAGGGGGCCGGGATCCAAAGGAGAAGAACGAGTGCACCACGTGTCTCTGCAGGCAATGTGACTGCCTTGCGTGTATGTAACACAACACGCCTAAATGCATGCAGTAATGCAGTCTGAGAGGGCTTTCAAGCGGTGCTAACTCTGCTAAGCCTCGCAGCATACGTACAGCATGTGTACAGCATGTGTACAGTTACAGTAAAAACAAAGCTCGCTGCCAAGTGTCACCTCAGGATTAAGTGATCTGCAGCATTAAGAGTTTATCTGCTCCTGCTTGGGTGCACCTTGACTGCGAGGTGAGATTAAGACGTGTTGGCGGAGTAAGTGAACTAAAGTTAAAGAGCGCATTTAATACAGGGAGAAAGGAATTCCAGGAAACATCAACATTTTAAATAGAAAGAAAAAATAAAAGCCACTTGAGGAAATGATTCTCTTCTTCTGCAGCTGTTTAGAACGAGTGTGAAAAGTAGCAGCAGAAAGCAGAGTGGAAACTTGGCTGTGGAGACGAGCAGGCCCGGTAATGAACTCAAACCGCGAGTCTGACACGATCAGGGTATTAACTAAACATTTGCTTCATTTCACAAGAGTTATAAGGAGAAGATGTTGAATATAAGCATGAAATATAATCCTGAGTTACTGAAGCAGCTTTTCTCCAGGAATACATTTCCGGATATATCATGAGATGCTTTATTTATCCCACAGTTGGGAAAATTGCTGCCATTATTCTTTCGAACCCTGGAAAAAGTCAAGCTGGGAGCGTTTATGGAGTATATGGTCAAACCCTCGTCTTCAGTAGTAATCTGACCAATGATAGCCCGCGTTACCTCCCAACTTCTGTTGTTCAAGAGCCAAGCAGAGCAGAAGGAGCTAAAAAGCAGAGTTAGACTGATTCAGATGCTTTCTACATGAATGGAGAGCAACTAAACTATTCTCTTTCAGGAGTAAAAGACTAAGGAAGCAGCTGTCGGGAATCAACATAAAGCTGGTTGTCAAACTTGTCACAACGACGGCTTTCTTCTAAACGCTACCACTGATGCTTTTCTTGCAAAGTTTATTCAGGGGAGAGCAGAGCTGTGGGTATGAAAGGCTCAAAGGCGTGCCAACACACAAACTAAGGCACACGTTTGCCTTCTGCTGCGCGCCGAACCGGAGCATTATGCGACTGTTTTCGGAGAACAACGAGACAAGTCTTCCTTTTTAGCTGCGAACCGCTGCACCCGGTCGTGAACTCTCCCTCCCTCTTCCCCTTCTTCCCCTTCAGTCCTCTGTTCACGTTAAAAGGCTTCCTACAGGCCATCTGCTCAAGGGCAAAGGGAGCATTGCCACCCCGTTGCTCCTCGGCACACATCCCGTGACCTGGCATTCTTCTCAGCCCGGCCCTGGGTGACTCCTACGTAAGCTCCGTGTTTAGTCTGGCACCGTGTGTGTCTTGGGTCTGCGATTCAGGATAACGGTGAGGAATGAGCCACGCCTCATTTTGGTGTAAACACAGCAGGTATGTGAATTGTCGAGGATGTAACTGCCTTTTTTTCCCCTTTCACCAAGACCACCGTGCATTTGTAGCAGAGAAGCTCCAACCTCTAAACTCAAACCCACACGTGCAGAGTCTGGATTTCCTAACCTGGCCCTTCGTGTGCTTGAATCTAAACTATAGAAACAGAGCAGCAGGAAAAAACTCCAGACACAGCAGTGACACACTCCCTGAAGCCCCACGGTAACGTCACGCTGCTGCTAGGGCAGCTTTAAACCCACTCTGCCACCACACAGGAATCCTGCTGAAAATACAGGCAAGGTTTTGTTTGAAGAAAAGAATATATCACAGTGAAAGTGACAAAATAACCTCAAATATAATAAAGGATACCAACAAGGTTTCAATCTTTCTGAATTATTGTGCACTAGGAGCTATGAGGTCATTTGTTATTGGTTGTGAGTGTTAACACAATCGCACCGCTTTCCTCCTGTCAAATCACAGCCCGTGGGACTAGTCTCTTATCACTTTCCTCTGGCGCTGCGACAGCTCGGCTCTTAAAGCAACAGCACGCGTAAAGCTTCTCTCTCAGACTCGCAAATTAAATTCAAAGTCATGCAAAACACCGTCGTTTCTTTCCGGGCAAAGAAAAACAACAACAGGAAGTGAAGAAGAAGAGAAAACAGGGTGGTTGAAGCCAAAGACCACGCCGTCTCCTACTGACTTTTTGTCATACGAATCAGATTTAAAGTATCCTGCGGTTGTTTGCTTATGAGCAGAAATGTCCATCTATGAATCACTTGCTGAAAGCCCGTAATACTGTGCGGTGGATCCAGCCAAAGCCACCAAACATCCATCAAAGTGCTTGTTAAGTGTCTTTCTGACTTTTTCATTATACATTTAGAAGCTCTGAGCCTGGCTGCCGACCAAAAATGTCATGGCAGCCTGCTGAAAGATTTATACGTGTATGCCACCGCCATTCCAGACTAATGCCAAGAAAATGAAAATGTTTCCAAACACTTTTTGTACAATCGTGCAAACATCTAGAAACTTCACACAAAGTTTAGACAAAGGAACAAGTCTGTCAAACAAAGTTGTTCTCGTGAGTCAGACGAACGCGACGACCGGCAGAAGCAATAAAGTCTCAGACTGAGAAAGATGACCTTGTTGTGTCTTCATGTACAAGGCTGCAAGCTGGAAGCAAGTACATAGAGTTAGGCCGGATACAAGAGATACAAAGCGAAGCTAGCAGATCCAGGTGGGAACTAAACAGCATTCACACATGCAAGCACACAGTGTAAACCACACCTGTGCATCTGATAATGGGGAGCACAATGCAGCCTCTCCACTCCAGGCTCTTCTTAATCCAGTAAGCAGGAGAAACAAAGGGAGACAAAGATAAAACTCCAGTCCAGAGCAGACCTTACCTCCGTGGCCCGGGCTTTAATCTAAAAGCTCTTTGAAGAGCTTGCAAAGGAGAAATCTAGCTGCTGTTCTCTGATCTGGATTCACTCTGGGGAGGCTCGTTGAGTCTTAAAGCAACACTCACACACACTGCATCTGACTCACACACACACACCCAGGCACACTGGAGGACATGTGGAAACTCCCTCCCGGCTTTGGAGGAGCAGCGAATCACAATCCTCCGAGGGTAACCCTGGGTAACGGAGCGCCAAGAGGAAAAACCAGAGAGGAAAAAGTGAAAGGTCCTCGACAGAAGAGCTCTCTCAGGAAGAGAGGCGAGGATGTTTTATAACGCTCATCCAGCGCAGAAAGGCTCCACTACTCCAATGTGTTGTTTTTCCTACATCCAGCTTTTCCGTTGGCAAGGAGCAGGATGCAGGGTCCGCTGCAGCCCAGGCGGTTTTCCATAGCAGTCTGAGGGGATTGGCCGAGACAAGCTGGCGTGTAATGGCTGCAGCGCTGCCTGGGAGGCACTGCTGAGGGCGCAATGACTGGAGCTCTTGTCTGACCCTAAATACCACAATGACCCCAAGAGGAGGCCAAGGAGGCAGCCAGCCACCCCCAAGAGAGAGATGTGTGCGTGTTTAGTGTAGAAGAATATAAAAAGAGCGGGACAGCAACATGCCTGAGCCTTTTGAACGTTCTGTTGGCCGGGGAGGAAGTCCTAATTTGAAGGGAGTTGATTTAAAATGCAACAAAAAAGCAAAACTTCCCGGGAATTCGACTTTCTCAAAGTGTTGTGACTAAGCCGTCTCCCAGCGGAGACAAATTTGAGACCGCCGTCGGGCTAAAAACACACGCATGCCTCCATTTCTCTATGGTTCGCATAACTGTGGTCAGAGTCAAACTGGACCCATTAACAAAGCCACACCAGAACACAGCACGACATCAGAACTGGACCCTGTGTGCCAGACGGCTCTCTCACTTTATTTCAGAGTAACCGAGCGAAGATTACTGGATGTTTGGGGACGTATCAGCGCTTATAGCACATATAACAAGAACGTTCAGATGGATTCTCCTCCAGAAAATCATTGTGGTCTGAATGGCGATTCAAAGTCACGTCCGTGCACGCTGTACGAGCAGCTGTGGATAGGCTTCCATCAGCCGGCTGCTTCTGCTTGACACACAGACATCAGCTCCGGGACACAATATCAGCAGCGTTCACCAGAGCTAAACAACATTGTTAACAGCACAATGGTCCTCGTGGCCCAGTCTGAGCTGCTCTCAAAGGCCTTTGTCCGGCTATAGATGGAGGCAGCTAAAAGGTTGGTCAACAACACACTTGGAGTGACTGGGAGACGTGAAAAGAGCGAGGCAGCGAGAAAGACAGAGGAGGCAGGCAGGGCCGCTGTGATGCATATTCATACAGAGCAGGTGCTCGGTCTAATTCCTCCCGGCCAAATGCTCTGACCCCTAATTACGATGAATTAAGGCTCCGACAAGCGCCGATCAACACAGCCAGATTAAATCCCCACACGTGCTCAAATCTCTGCACGATTTCCATTCACATCTCCAAGAGCTGAACTAGGTAGTTCATGGGGACTGTAGGTCACACTGCTCTACATGAAGACGTAACTCAAGAAAGCATCAACGCAGCTCATGTGCGCAGCAGCGCAGCTGTCGTGAAACACAAGGGAATGACGTAACTGACAGGAATACAAGTCAGCAGAAGTCTGAGAACGAG